CCTGGGGGGGCGGGTCCAGCCTGGCCCGGCTCCCCCCGCTCTCCCCGCCCTGCCCCACGGCGCCCAGTGACGGGGACTCACCGCCCGGTTTCCTCTCCCGCACAGAGCAGCATGGCGGAGCCCGGCCGACCCCAGCGGAAAATGTCCCGGGCTGGGGAGAGTTTGTACAGAGTCCTGGGCCTGGAGAAAGGGGCGTCTGCAGACGAGATCAAATTTTAGATTTCACAGCATAGCAGAGTTTGTTGATCCTAATCTATCTATTGCATGCTATGAAAATGTATAGGAACATTCTTACTAGGGATGTCACCAAGTAGTTAATGACTAGATTAACTGATAAGCCTATGCTTATTAATTAATCATTTGGCTGCTCATGTTTTCCCCCAGCTTGCTGCCTCTGTATCAGAGGCAGCAAGGTGGAGGGGAGCAGGAGCCAGCGCTGGGTGGAGAGGACTTCTTTTTGTTTTGGCTCCCACCCACGGGTCGCATGTTGAGCCCTGCGTAAACCCAAAGCACACCATGGGCCACAAAAAAACGGGCCGTGGGCTGCATGTTGAGTAGCCCTGTGTTACAGCATGCCCTCTGTGGGGGAGGAGTCACACCATGTTGTCCCAAGGAGCCTCCTGCCCCTAGCACAGGGCAGGGTCGTTCCAAATGGCTCAAGGTCTCCTGTTCCCAGGGAAAATGGGAGGAAGGAGTCTCTGGGTCCCCCCAGAGATTTCAGGAGGCTGCTTGGGATGCCTGCTCAGGCCTGATGCTCCCCTGCACCTCGCAGGAAGCTGGCCCTGAAGTACCACCCAGACAAGAACCCTGAGATCAACAATGCCAACGCCACGCTGAGCGACGAGAACAAGCGGCGGATCTATGACGAGTCTGGCTCCATGGGGCTCTACGTGGCGGAGCAGTTCGGCGAGGAGAGCGTCAAGTACTACTTCCTCATGTCCAAGTGGTGGTTCAAGGTGAGTGCCTGCTACCACTGGGCGTAGCTGCTTCTGGCCCATCCTTTGCTCCTGCCCCGCTTCCATGGGCTGCGTCAGCCAGGCTACCAGGTGGGGTGCCGCAGAGCGGTGTCCTGGGCTCCACGCTGCCCCAGCCGGCGTGGGTGTGTGTATGAGTGCATGGTGCCCTGAGCCACCCGCTGTGCTGGAGGGGATCATAGGCACTCCGTGTGAACATCTGTGTCCATGGGGTAGGAGCTCCGGCTAAACTAAGGGAAGAACGAGAATTGCTAGACACGTTGGGTGTCTTCAGCTTGGTAGGGCTTGGCCAAATACACCCTTGGATACCTACTGCCTGGCAAGCTCTGCGAGCCATTAACAACCATCTTGGAGAGCTTTGGAGGGTTGGAGAGCCCTGGGGAAGGGCAAATGCGGCTCCTGTCACTGACTAGGGGGAACAAGGACGAACCAGGAAGTCTATGCCAGCCAGTTGATCTTTCCAAGTACCAGAGTTAGTGGAGCAAACACTTGTTCTGCTTGTGAGCACACGCCCACACCCCCGCTAACCAGCTGAGGAATAACAACACCCATGGGTTTGTCAAGAACAAATCATGTCAAACTAATCTAATATTCCCCTCTGGAAGGCTAACCAGCCTTGTGGGCGGGGAATGTGGCAGACATGATAGAGCCTTACCGAAGTCGAGGTGTGGGACAGTCCCACGTACTGCCTCATAAGCCAAGTAGGGCAGTGGGACCTACCTGGACTTACAGCACAGTGGGTTTGCAGCTGGTAGCTTCTCTCTGGAAGTGGTTTTCCTCTCAGTGGTTCATGGTCAAGCTGCAAGGGCTCAATGAGAGAGTCCTGCAGGAATCGGTCACAACTGGTTCGGTTCAGTAGCTTCATCAACAATTTAGATAAACCCAAAGATGGCAGAGACTTCAGGAGTTCGAGTCCGGCCCCTGCCCAAAGCAGGATCATCCCAGCCAGGGCTTTGTCCTGCCAGGACTTAAAACCTTCTAGGGGTGGGGATTCCAGCACCTCCCCGGGTTAACCTGTTAGCATAAAGAGTTTACTAATAATGGGAGGGGTTTCAAGAGCTTTGGAAGGAGGGTCAGAATTCAAACTGCTCTGGACAAACTGGAGAACTGGTCTGAGGTGAACAGGATGAAGCTGATTAAGGACCAATGCAAAGTGCTCCACTTAGGAAGGAACAATCAGTTCCACGCATGCAGAAGGGAAGTGGCTGACAAGAAATAATTCTGCTGTATCCAGCCCTGACAAGGCCTTGGCTGGAGCATTGTCTGGCCCTGGGCACTGTACTTCAGAGACGAGGTGGGCAAATGGCACCCAGCCCAGGTGAGAAGGTGACCAGGTCTGGAACATGTGGCCGTCCAGGCAGATCTGGGAGCTGCGTTTGTTGAGTCTGGCCAGGAGAAGTCTGAGGGGGGGTTGAGCCTTCAGGGGCATTGCGAAGAGGGGAGGAAAGTCTGTTCCTTTACCCCTGAAGAAGCAGTCGGCTTAAACTGCAGCAAGCGCGGTTTGGGCTGGACCCAGGAAAAGCGCCAAGGCAGGGTAGTTAAGCTGGGGGGGGGGGGTGGAATTCCCCTCTCCCCGCCCCCAGGAGGGGGATGGCCTGGACAGTCCTTAGGCCTGCTTCGGTGTGGGGCTGGGAGCTCTCTCCAGGCCCCTTCAGCCCCTCTGATTCTAGGCCCATCTGCTCCCCGTGCAGGCGTTGGCCGTGTGCTGTGGCCTCTTCACCTGCTGCTGCTGCTGTTGCTGCTGCTGCTTCTGTTGTGGGAAGTGCCGCCCGCCCGAGGAGGAGGACGCCTATAAGTACGTCAACCCCGAGGACCTGGAGGCGCAGATCCAAGCTGAGGCTGAAGGTGAGGAGGAGGAGGAGGAGTTGTGCTGCACTGGGCTGGTGCTGCCAGAGGGGGGCCCGGCGCAGCCCCGGCGTGCCCTTGGAGCGGGGGCGGGGATCCCCAGGGGAGCAGGGGTGGAGCCAGAGGCAGCAAGGGTCCCGGGATGAGGCCGGGGGCGCACAGCCAGTGCTGGGCTTTGGGGAGGGCAGTACGGGCTCTGGCCCCGGGTCCCAGCTCTGCTGCAGCTTGCGGTGCACTCAGGGCTGGTCTCTCTGTGCCCTGCCCTGGGTTTGCCATGCGCTCACAGGGAGGCGCTGCTGCTTATCGGAGCCGAGGGTGGCCCGGGCCAGCCCAGGGTGGGGCCTGGCAGGAAGCTCACCCCCCAGTGCCACTGCTGTGAGCACAGGAGTGCTGGGTCGGGATGTCGCTGACACCCTGGGGTCCTGAGCCTGGGGGAGGCATGGCCAGGTGGCAGGAAGAAAGGCAGGGGCAGAAGTGC